TACCACTCTTCTTGTGAATTATGGAAAGCAGGGTATAAATTATTTTCTCGCTGCTCATTCGCCAACGGTGATAAATTTAAATCTAGAAAAATTCTTTCATCTGGAACATGTCCGGCAAAAACTGATCCAGAATAACCACCCGATGACTGGGGGTTATCTCTACTACGCACAACCTCATTTTTTGGAACGTCTTCGACCTTCACGTACATCTCCAACATTGTGATTACAAGAAATTCCCGGCATTCGTCCGGAGTCCTCAAGAAATCACTCAAAGTGTCATCATCGTCGATGTTAAACTCTGAGTAAAAAGCAACCCCTTGCGGCGTAACGGAATACGGATATCTTCCGGTTACTTTGAGTATCACTGAACGTTTTCTCACACTCATTTTTTTGCATAACAACGATATCAATGTTTCGTACTCAATTGAAAGTGGCAATTTAACATTACACTTAGCAGGTAAACTGTAGCCCACAGAGTTATTCTCCATCACAACCTCACCCCCCCAATATAATGATACTCTTATTCTACGTTCTTCAGACATAATGAAAAAATGCTGGAGAATTTAACAACAATAGAAACCAACAAGAGTTAAAAAAAATTTTTGAATGAAGTTGTGGCGATTCTACGATGTTTATATAGAAAATGGCTAGCCGGGTTATTTTTTTTTTTATATATATAGCGCCACAAAAAGTGGCTTTATACGCATTTAAATTATTGAACCCAGAAATTATTGGTGGGGTCAGGTAATAAGGCATATAGCGCCACTATTAATGGCGCTATGTAAGGTTTGTCAGTATAACGCCACTAATAGTGGCGCTATACAGTAACGGTACAGTTAACGTTACTGCATAGCGCCACTATTAGTGGCGTTATATATAGTTTGGTAACTTTTTTTTACACTTATTTGAGTATNAGGGAATACAATTCAAGTTTTAGCAATTAGGCGCCCACCTGGATAACGAGGGAATACAATTCAAGTTTTGGCAATCAGGCGCCCACCTAGATAGTGAGGGAATACAATTTAAGTTGTTGGTAATCAGGCGCCCACCTGCATAACGAGGGAATACAATTCAAGTTTTGGTAATCAGGCGCCCACATGGATAACGAGGGAATACAATTCAAGTTTTTGGTAATCAGGCGCCCACCTGCATAACGAGGGAATACAATTCAAGTTTTGGTAATCAGGAGCCCACCTGGATAACGAGGGAATACAATTCAAGTTTTTGGTAATCAGGCGCCCACCTGCATAACGAGGGAATACAATTCAAGTTTTGGTAATCAGGCGCCCACATGGATAACGAGGGAATACAATTCAAGTTTTTGGTAATCAGGCACCCACCTGGATAACGAGGGAATACAATTCAAGTTTTTGGTAATCCGATGCCTACATGGAGAGCAAGGGAATCCATTTCAAACTCTTTTCAAAGTCATTTCAGAATTCAATTCATGTTAGAAGTAGCTGAAGCTCGCGGCAAGAATGCAAGTCAACAGTCCGAGGTGACCAACAGAAGTAGTCTCAACCCAAAGAAGAAAAAAAAGAAAAGAAAAGAAAGAAAGTGAATCCAAAATGCAGAAGCAGAAAAAAAAATGTGAATTGCTCAAGACGTGGTTGAAGTCACGAGAGCTACATGTCCAGTCTTGATCTGAAAAGGCTAAAGAAGAACGAGCTAGCACCTGCAGCTACCGAGCGTCAAGGTTCAAATCTAAAGTCTACATGAAGAACCATTCAAAACTCAAGATCAAGCTTCAGAAGACTTATAGATAGGAATATTGTAACTAATAGCTGACAGGCTTAGTTAGTCTTTTTCATTTTTTTGATTTTGATGTAATAACAGAACTGCGGACCCGATCTTCGGTGGAACGGTACCTCAATTGGCTCTCCATCTCAGTATACTCCATCACCTCATTCACTTCTGAACTACACGTGGCCTGATTCCTTTATTGCCAAGGATATGTAGGCAGCTCAGATACCAGGGCTCAGTCACATTCTCTTCCTTTCTCTTAGTTTTTGGTCTCTTTAAATAAGGGCCGGGTCAAAAAAATTTGTCTAGTTGTTCTTTGTCAGAAAACGCTTCGCATTTTCAGTCAAAGAGGGGCAGCTGTAGACATGTGATTTTTGACCCTCCCCAAGATTTTATATATTTTAGCATTTAAATACTTAGTCTAGGTCTAATATAGTTATTTCAACTAATTTTTGACTCTTTTACATTATTTTATCACAAAATTGAAAATACAAAAAAATAGTTCCATATTTCTCTATTTAATTCACGTATTAGATATTTTTAGGAGGATATATTACTTTGAGCCTATTTTTATTTTATTTTAATATAATCTTTGAAAATGCAAAAATAGTTTCAACTTTAATTTTTAGTTTTATTTTAAATATAATAGTTTATTAAAATTAATTAAGAGTTACTTTATACCTTGTTATAAGTATTTTTTAAAAAAAAAAAAGCAAATTAGATTTTCAGTATTTTTCTAGCCTGATTTGGTAGATTTAGAGCCTAATTCAACCCTTAGCCCATAAATCCAAGCCCAATACCCAATACTCATTCCCTAACCCAACCCAATATAAAAAGACCTAAAGAACCTGGAGAAGAGATATATCGTGAAGCCCCCCCCCTAATCGATCATCTTCTGGAGGAGACAAACACACAGCTCCTCCTTCTTCCTGGACTGAACAAAAGCCTTAAAACGACCTTCAACTTCCGAACCACCTCCAACGCCACTGGCCACTCCCTAGCCACCAACAATACTAACCACTATTCCCTCACCTCCATTAATCTCCATGTGAGCTGTCACTCTAGACCCCAAGCACAACAACGACCCCCACCAGTTTCTTCTTCTCCGAACACTAGCCAGAACAGACCACTCCTTCAACCGTGGCTTCTTCCTCTTATAGCCTTGAACACCTATGAACGGATCCCCACTGTTACCCTCGCCCAAAAGACCCCCTGCTTCTTCAACCTTTGGACACAAGGAAGAGAACGACCTCCTCTCTCCAATTTTTGGCCAGCGTACCTTCCCATTTTCCGTTTCCGTAGACAGAGATCCATAGGAAGTTCTGGACAGAATCTTAGCAAATTTCTCTGTTGATTTTTTTGATTTCGATTTGAGTTTCAAAGTGATGGAATTCAAATGAGTGAAGGTGCCGAATTTGTGGGTGCTCGTTGAATGCCGTCGGGTTTTGAAGTGTCTGTTTCGATGCTCATTTGGTGGAATACGCTTCTGCTCGTTGAGCTTTAGTTGCTGCCTTCAAGTGTATTATTTTACCAACATCTAATTGATTGAAACTCCCTCTTCCAGGTCCGATTCTTTAGTTCTCCGCTCAACTTATCTTCTTTAAAACTTATATGTTGTTTGTGTTGAAATGTTTGTTTGATCCATGTTAATCATATTTTGCTTGGTTAATCCTGATCACATCAATTGATTAGGATTTACACGAACTATCTTGTGCTAAAATTTTTCATGAAATATGGGATTGGGTTATGTTAAAAAGGGAGATGGATTTAGGTTGCCTTTAACATCTGAAGCCAGGAAATTTCAATTGATGATCTGTTATTATATATGGCTTCAACGGTTGCGATGATTTTGCTCCCTTTTACACTATACATAGAAGGAAATGTAACAACATTTACATTGGAGAAATCTAAGGATTACATGTGAGTTTTGGCCTACCGTATGTTATGAGATTGAGTTTGATATAATTTTGTCGTTCTTTATTCTCACTCTCGTTAATTGGACCGCTAGGAGCATGACTAGGCCGACCACACCGGGGTAGGCAATCTTTAGGATTTTTGTTCGTTTGAGGCGAAAGGTCGTTCCGTAGGTAAATTTATTCGGGGAATGTCCCGAAGTACTTGTATATATTTTAAACAGGGGAATGCCCCGAAGTAAATGTAAATGGAGGCCGTGGCAACATCAATGGAGGCGTAATATAGGCTAGTAAGACTTATTTCATTTTATTTTATTTTTCTTTAATTTGGTGGGGACGACCTCGAGCCTCATGTGTGTTTACTTTGTTTTTTCTGTGATTTTGCCTCAATTTGAATATTTTAAATCCAACTAGATTGAGTATGCAACCGTACTAGTTACGGGACTTGGGGAGTGCCTAACACCTTCTCCCCGAGTCAAATGAACCCCCTTATCCGAATCTCTGGTGCAGACTTAGTTTTGGAGTCTCAAGTGTTTCAAAAGGGAAAAAAAATTATTTTAGAAAAACGGTGACCTGACACACCAAAATCAAACGTCAGGTGGCCACTCTGAATTATCTCTTTTTGAACACAAATTTTTGTCACTTTCAAAATTGAAAAACCCTTTTGAGCTTTGCAAATTCCTTTTATTTATTTATGTAGGGGTTAGTGAAGTTTGGTTAAAAAAAGGGGTGTGACAATAACGATTGCTAGATTGGAGCTTTATCTATTGGAGGAAATTAAGGTAGCCGCCTTGGCGTCCGCAAGCCTTGACTCTCCTACTTTCTTAGTTTATTTGTATTGTTCTATCTTCCTAGATAGTGTTTAGTAGTCAGACTGTTGTTAGTTAGTGTTTACCAGCTAGGGCCACGAGAGGTCGGGGCTGCAGTAGAGGCCGAGGTGCAGCTCGTACAATAGCTAGAGCAGTACCTGTAGACCCACCAATCGATGTAGCTTAGGAGCATATTCCAGATATGGTTGAGTCGGTGGGACCAACTCAGGCACCAGCTATGCCCATTGTGATTCTAGTCCTTCAGAAGGCTCTGGCCCAGATATCGACCATTTGTAATAGCCTTGCTCAGGCGGTTTTAGTTCTGGCCACACCATCCACTTCTCAAGCTGGGTGAGGTGCTTAGACTCCCGTCGCCCGTATTCTAAAACAAGTGGTGAAGGGACTTCAGACACTGGGGGTACTACTAGTCCAGCTAGTTGAAGTTACTCAGGCCCGGGTGGGTCCCACTATGAGTGGCGAGGAGCAGAAAAGAATAGAGAGGTTTGGGAGGCTCAAGCCTCCATCATTTAGTACAGATGAGTTAGAGGATGCCCATGACTTCTTGGATAGGTGCTAGCAAATTCTTTATACGACGGGAATTTTGAGGAGACTAGTGGGGTCTTATTTATTACTTTTCAGCTATCGGGGGCAACCTTCAGATAGGGGGAGGCCTATGAACAGATCAGGCCAGTCGATGCTGTACCACTTACATGGCACGAGTTCTCCGTTCTCTTCTTGGAGAGGTGTGAGAAAGCACATGAGAAAATATTATTGATTAATATTCTATGTTACAATAAGCTCTATTTATATGTATACATAACATATAATCTACTCCAGTTATATAAGTGACTAGGACTAATTACATACATTGACATAACTATTCTAATACTCCCCCTCAAGCTGGTGCATATAAATCATATGTATCGATCTTGTTACATATATAGTTAATACGAGGACCAGTGAGGGACTTGGTGAACATATCTGCAAGCTGATCATTCGACTTCACAAACTTTGTAGCAATAACTCTCGAGAGTATCTTTTCTCTAACAAAGTGACAGTCAATCTCAATGTGTTTAGTTCTTTTATGGAACACTGGATTTGACGCAATATGAAGAGTAGCTTGATTATCACACACAAGTCCCATCTAACTAATCTCACCAAATTTCAACTCTTTGAGCAACTGTTTGATCCAAATTAGCTCACATGTCGCCATAGTCATTGCTCGATATTTTGCTTCTGCACTAGACCGAGCAACCACATTCTATTTCTTGCTCTTCCAAGACACCAAATTTCCTCCTACTAAGACACAATATCCAGACATAGAACGTCTATCAAAAGGTGATCCTGCCCAATCAACATCTGAGTATCCAGCGATCTGCTCATGGCCTCGATCCTCAAACAATAAGACTTTGCCTGGAGCTGATTTTATATACTGAAGAATGCAGACAACTGCATCCCAATGACTATCACAGGGAGAATCCATAAATTGACTTACAATACTCACAGGAAAGGAAATGTCAGGTCTAGTCACTGTGAGGTAATTTAATTTACCAACCAACCGCCTATATCTTGCAGGATTGCTAAGAGGCTCCCCCCGTCCTGGTAGAAGTTTAGAATTTGGATCCATCAGAGTGTCAACAGGTCTACAACCTATCATTCCTTTCTCCTTAAGAATATCTAAAGCATACTTCCGCTGTGAGATCACAATACCTAAGCTCGACTGAGCGACCTCAACACCTAGAAAATACTTTCATCTGCCCAGATCCTTAGTCTGAAAGTGCTGAAAGAGATGTTGCTTCGACTTACTAATACCATCCTGATCATTGCCGATAATAACAATATCGTCAACATAAACGACCAGATAAATACATAGATTTGAAGCAGAATGTCAATAAAATATAGAGTGATCAGCTTCACTACGAGTCATGCCAAACTCCTGAATAACTGTGCTAAACTTACCAAACCAGGCTTGAGGAGACTGTTTTAGACCATAGAGGGATCGATGCAACCGACATACAAGGCCACTAGACTCCCTCTGAGCAACAAAACTAGGTGGTTGCTCCATGTAAACCTCATCCTCAAGGTCACCGTGAAGGAAATCATTCTTAATGTCCAACTGATAGAGAGGCCAATGGCGAACAACAGCCATGGATAGAAAACAACAGACTGATGTTATTTTAGCCACGGGAGAGAAAGTATCACTGTAATCGAGTCGAAATATCTGAGTATACCCTTTGGTAACAAGACGAGCCTTAAGTCGATCAACCTGACCATCTGGATCAACTTTGACTGCATACACCCAACGACAACCAGTAGTCGATTTACCCGAAGGAAGAGGAACAAGCTCCCAAGTACCACTCGTATGTAAAGCAGACATCTCGTCAATCATAGCCTGTCGCCACCCCGGATGAGATAGTGCTTCACCTGTAGACTTAGGGATGGAAACAGAGGATAAATATGACACAAATGCACAATGGGATGATGACAGACAATGGTAACTTAAACCGACATAATGAGGATTAGGATTGAGTGTGGACCGTATACCTTTCGTAGTGCAATCGATTGATCAAGAGGAGACAAGTTTGCAGTATTAACAGGGTCAGGTGCATGATGTGAATCAGCTGGGCCTAATGTTGGATGTGGACGACAATAATAAGTCAGGAGTGGTGGAGGTGTAGAAGGTTGAACTGGACTAGGTGGTGGCATTGGAGCTATAGTTGGTGGAATTGGACTAGGTGGTGGCACTAGACTCGATGGTGGTACTGGAGCTATAGGGGTGGATCTGTAGAGTACGATGAATGAGGAATAGTGACTGAATCTCCAAAAGACGGAACTGGTAGCACCTCAAAAATATCTAATTGATTAACTGGACCTGTGCAGTATAGTTGGGTTTCAAAGAAGGTAACATCAGCAGGCATAAGAAACCGCTGGAGGTAAGGAGAATAACATCGATATCCCTTTTGTATTCTCGAGTAACCCAGAAATATGCACTTAAGAGCACGAGGAGCTAACTTATCTTTTCCTGGAGTAAGGTCATGAACAAAACACGTACTCCCAAAGACATGGGGTGGAAGAGAGAACAAAGGTAAGTGGGAAAACAAGACAGAGAATGAAACTTGATTCTGGATAGTTAAAGATGGCATACGATTAATAAGATAGCAAGATGTAAGAACTGCATCCCCCCAAAAATGCAGCGGAACATGAGATTGTATGAGTAGAGTACTAGTAGTTTCAATAAGATATTTATTCTTTCTTTCAGCTACCCCATTTTGTTGGGATGTGTACGGGATAAGATGTTTGATGAATAATCCCATGGGAGTTCATAAACTACTGAAATGGGGAAGACAAATACTCTAGGGCATTATCATTACGAAATGTGTAGATAGAAACCCCAAATTGATTTTGAATTTCAGCATGAAAGTTCTAGAAAATAGAAAACAAATCAGATCGATTTTTAATCAAACATATCCAAGTGCACCTAGAATAATCATCAATAAAACTGACAAAGTAGCAGAATCCCAAGGTAGAACTGACCTGACTAGGACCCCAAATATCAGAATGGACTAAAGTAAAAGGTAACTCTGCTCGGTTATCAAGATGTCGCGGGAAATAGGAGCGGGTATTCTTACTGAGCTGACATGACTCACACTCTACAATAGACAAGTGAGATAAGCTAGGTACCATTTTCTAAAGTTTTGACAAACTAGCATGTCCCAACTGTTTATGTAATAAATCTGGTGAATCAGTAATAGGACAAGTTATTGAAGGAAGACAAGGTACGAGTCCATGTGATTTTGCAAGGATAAAGTAATAAAGTCCATCTGATTCACGTCCGGTACTAA